GCCTCACAGGGGTATCGTGCTTTTCGAAGATCGACATTGTACGTTATCTTTCCAACCCCAATCGTAATAATCGTCCTACCTGAGCGCGAAGACCCAGAGAGCGGGAGGGATGGGCGAACGGTGGGGCGTTGCCAGGGGAAAGGGAGAGAAAGAGTATTGAATTTGGAATGGGCAGTGGCAGAGAGGGGGGAGAGAAGATAGAGAGAGACCTTCCTGCATCTGCGACTCATAGTAATCAGCCTATGCATGTGATCGTGCAGCTTCCTTCACCTGATGATCCGGTTGACCCCAGTGTGCTCCAAGGAATGTCAGCACAATCATTAGAATTGCAGTTTTCTAATCACAACTGCCATGTCGATGATGGCTTGGCGGTCTGGCGTGCCCTACCCACATTTGCGTGCGCACGTGATAGCCCACTAGGCGACCTGTTCGAGAGATCAACTTGGTGTTGATTCATGCTGCAACGAATTTCTCTGGGCTCTTGCGCACCTAAGCGTCGATCTAAACAGGGCAGCCTTCAAGAAAAGTCTGTGCCTAAATGTAGAAGGCTAGAGCCATCGAGGCTACGGACAGCAAGGAAGCGAGAGAAGCGTAAGTCAGAAGCCAGGCGAAGGCTGGCAAACCCGTGGCTGCTGAAACGGAGTTCCGCGAAATTGTTGTGTTTCTTCCATTAAGCGGCCCGTTTGTTATTTAGCGCGCTGAGCTTTATTTCGGCAATGTCTTTGTTTCTTCCACAAATATTGTTTTAGCAGCCACGGAATTACCAGCCTTCGCCCAGTTTCCGAGTGAGGGGGGAAGGGGGAAGGAGGGCTACGACAAGTCATGCGAATGTGCAACCCAAGCCTGACGGCAGTTACATGCGAAACACATGTATTTAGCCTCCCACCTTGGGCGTGGCGGCAGCATAACAAACAGCCCTTCCAAGCTCATGCAAAGACCAGCCGTGTTTTCAATCCCGCGTCAAGTCACGGGGTTTACGGAACGACGTCTAAGATGATTTTATTGGTGCAGTTTGAGCTATGCTTGCGGTGCTGCGAGCGACCTTGTCAAAGTCTCTCAGTGTCCACCCACACTGCGGAAGCTCATCCACCAGACGCAGCCCCTAACTGAGGAGAGGGCGGAAGGAAGAGAGGGGAAGAGGTTAGAGGGAGGGAGGAGAGGGAGGGAGAGGGAGGGAGGGGGGGGGGAGCATCGGGATCGGGACAGATTCGAAGCATCGCCGCAGAGAAGAAGCGACCCAGACCGATACACGCAGCATGTCGGAGCGAATAGCCCTCCGCTGCACGAGAATCCGCCGCACGGGGTCGTCTTCACCGACATTGGCGCACAGGCTGCACGCGTCAGGTCGCGCGTAAGCGCCCTCGCTCCCGATGTGGCGTGCCGCGCGGGCAGCCCGCGCAAACCGCCGCGCAAGGTCACTGCGTGATCCCGCACGAGACCCGTTCTCGATCGGCGTTCACGATGTGCCCGCGGCCGCTGACCCCAGTGTGCCGACCCCGTGGCACGACGAGGAAGCCCCGAGGGAGGACCTCCGGCAAAGGGGAACAATCAGTGGACACTCCCCCGCCCCCCCAGACTCAAAGCTGGCACGCGCGGGGAAGACTGCGGTCGAAGTGCAGCTCATTCAACTCGCCGCCAACATTGACCAGATGAATGCGGCATGAGTGCTCGCTAAATTTCTTCCCGCCTGCCGGCAGGCCTGTTTCTCGTCCCGAGTCGTTTTTTGACGCTCCCAAAGTCCGGCGTGGGCCACGCGGAGGCCCAAAACTGCCAAGATCCCGCCCCTCTGCGCGTCGCTGAAGAGTGTCCGACCTCTTGCTCCGACGTCGCACCCGCCGTCGCTCCGAAGGCGAGACGCTGCCCCGAACGGCCTGTCTCCACCCTCCCGCCTGCCGGCGGGCCTCCCCCGAGACGCCCCAGCCGTCGGGCCGAACGGGGGGGGAGGCCCCGCCCCCGAGCCTTGCGTGCAGGGGCGGGAGCGGGCACCCTGCTCGGTCGAGGAGGCGACGACGCTCGGCCGCGGGAGTGGACACGGACGACGACGACGACGACGAGAACGACGACGACGACGACGACGAGAACGACGAACATGAAGACGAACACGACGACGAACACGACGACGAACACGACGGCGACGGCGGCGGCGACGGCGGCGGCGACGGCGACGGCGACGACGAAGACGACGACGGCGACGGCGACGGCAGCGGCGGCGGCGGCGCCTGCGGCGGCGGCGACGGTGGCGACGGCCGCCCGCCTCCTGGAGATGCGCGGCCCTCGCACGCGGCGGGCGGAGGTGACGGCTGCCCCCGACTGCTAGTGCGCGGGGGCACCCGTTCTCCCACCGGCGGTCCACCGGCTCACTGGTCGACCAGGCGTCGCCGCCAGCGCCGCCGGTTGCGTTGGCGGCGGCGGCGTCGTCGTCTTGTTCTCCTTGCATCCTCCCTCATGTCCTCTGCCTCCCCGGCCCCTACATCCCCGGTCTCCCTTTTCCCCCTGCCCCCCCCCCATATCTTTCCTCATCCCCGCGCGCGCGGCTCCGCGCGCGAAAGTGGGGGGGAAGGGAGGACCTGGGAGGAGGGGTGAAGGAGGAGGGAGGGGAGGGGCAGGGGTAAGGAGAAGGGAGGGCAGGACCTGGGAGGAGTGAGGGGGGAGGGGGGAGGTGGAGAGCCAAGAGGAAGAGAGTGAGGGAGGGGGAGGGGGAGGAGTCACGAGGGAGGAGGGAGGGGGGAGGGGGAGGAGGAGGGAAGGGAAGACCTGGGAAGAGGGACGAGGGACGAGGGAGGGGAAGGGGAGGGGGAGAGCGAAGGCGGATGAGGAGGAGCACAGAAGCGGGGGGGAACAGGCGGAGGTGAAGGATGGAGGAAGAAAGTGAAGACAGGAGGAGGAAGAGAAGGAAGAGGAGGAGGAGGAGGAGAGCAGGAGGAGTAGGAGGACCAGTGCAAACCCAAGAGTCATCAACGATGTTGGAGTAAAGCCTCCATCCAAGCTCCCTCTTCATTGGCCCCTACAGCGGTGTTACAGAGGCTCATTTCCACTGGGGGAACTGCCTCGTTGAAAGACAACCGTTTGAAGAGCCTGAAGCGTGCCAAACCATGATTCTCGGGACTCCAACGCCACGGATCAACCTGATTATTGCGTCTTGACCAGAATCGTGCCAGAACGCCGTTCTTGGGATTTCAACACCGCGAGTCAACGTAATTGTTGCATCTTCACAATTCTGAGTCTTTCCTAAACGCAGTGTCTGGTTCGTTGGCCATGGGAATCCGCGAAACTCTGGCAAGATTTGAAAAGAAATGCGCGCGGCGCTAACGCGAGAGCCACATCTTGAAAAGGAACCGCCCTCAATCCGTGAAGTGCTTAGAACGAATGTGCGCAGCGCTTAGGCGAGAGCCACATGTTGTAAACGACCCGCACTCAATCTGTGAAGCTCCTGCAAAGTGTTTAAAACGAATGTGCGCAGCGCTAAGGCGAGAGCCACATGCTGAAAACGGCCTGCCCTTCATCTGCCAAACTCTTGCAACATGCTTACAACGAATGTGCCCGGCGCTACGGCGAGAGCCGCATTTTGAAGACGACCCGCCCTCCATCTGTGAAGATCCTGCAACATGTTTAGCATTAGTGTGCAAGGCGCCAGGGCGAGATCCACATTTTGAAAACGACCCGCCCTCCATTCGTGAACATGTTGCCAATGTTCAAGCTTCAGGGTAATAAAGCATAATTACATGGTGAGGACATTTCAGGCGCAACGCCCAGCCCGCCCTTTCGACCGGCCTCGGGGTGCGACAGGGAGAAGCCATGTATGAGGAAAAGGAATGGAGGGAGGGGAGGAAGAGGAGGAAATGGGGAACGAGGAGGAGAACGAGGACGAGGAAAAGATGGAAGATAGGACGACGACGAGGAGGAGGAGGAGGAAATGGAGCGGCAGGGCGCGAAAGCGCCAGCTGACAGATCCTGGGGCAAGGTAATTACCAGGCGACCGCAGGCCTCATGTGCAGCGTCTCTCGGAGCGTACCCCGTTCAGGGAGTTGATTTATCATGGGGCCACCCCCGCTTGGCAAGCGGCTGCAATCAAGGCTTCAACGGGGGAGTGGCTCGCATCTAGCAGACTGCACACCGACAGTGGCCCGTGCCGTTGACGATCTTGGTGCGCGCCAGACGCCATAGCCAACTTCAAGCAGTACGCTCGGTGTCCACATTTACGGCGTCTTGCATTCCCTGTTGATGTCCCAGTCCCCAGGTGTCTTCAATCTGGCCTCGGCCTCGATAGACTTGAGGGGATTGAGCGATTTGAGCGTGCATATCCTTTGCGCAACACTGTCCGTACAGCAGGTCGCCGCCGATCAGACGTTGAGCCCGACCGATTATTATATTCCGTTCGACGTTCCGCCGTTGCTTTTGTTGATTTTTCGCGTGTGCCAGTCTAGGCCTCGCCTCGTTGTGAAGCTGATATGGCGCGCTTCGGCGTACAAACGACGTATATTTGTATACATACATACATACATGTAGTATCGCACGTCGGGAGTTCATAGGCCGCCCCCCCCAGATGGGATGGGCCCCAGGGCTCCAGAGGCCCAATCTCCTCAGATGGGAGGGGAGGGGGGACGACGACGACGCCGCCGACGACGACGACAGACGACTGACGACGGACGACGGACGACGACGAACCACCCCACACCAACAGGGGGAGGGCGGGGGGTGCCCCGACACCCACCACTACGCCACGCCCACAGGGTCATGAGAGGGGGGTGAACGATCACAGCTGATTGAGTGCAGGGGCAGAGATCCATGACAAGGAACGCCCTGCACGCATCGATGCGTTTTGCGACGGTTTGCACACGCCGGGCGAATGGCGAGGGTGGTACACATAGCGAGACCGCAGCAAACGGATTCAACAATTCCAAGGCAACCTTGAAGGTCCGAACGCTTGGACAGTTCGCTACCACCATCGAGGCAAAGAACGGCCCAGTTTATATGCAACACTGCAGATTACCGAGGGAGAGATGAAGCGCCACAACATCCCCGTTGTCTTTGCAGGGGCGCTCACAGAGGCGGCCTTCGTCTGCACCGCTCCCACGTTTAACATGGAGTCCTTCACCACCAAGCAGGCTGGCAAACAACAAGCCTTGCTGCCCGATTTTGGCATGCCGAACTTCCCTGAGATTTGCGAGACCACGGGACAGGAACGTGAAGAGCGAATTCACGAAATGAGTGTGGCTGCCTCGTGGCGAAGACGACGTGCGCCCCACGTGCGCGCACGGCCCCCGACGGAGCACGAAGGTGCCAGAGCGGGAACCGTGCGGAGTGCCACGATCCGGTGGCGAGGAAGGACGACCATGGCGGCTGGAATGGACCGCGCCCCGTGCTTGGAAAGGGTCGGATATGGCCAGGACCCCGGGTAAGGGGACCCGGTTAGTGGCAGGGCCCCGGAGCTTTTGAATTGGCCAGAATCACTAAACCAGGTTTGCCATAGCTTGTGTTTTTTCGGGTGACGGCAGTTTCGGTTAGTGGAAATGGGACGGGGGGGCGCCCCCGGTACAGATCACTTAACCAGGTTCCATTAAACCCAGTTTTGCCAACGCCCGAAACGGGCCTGACTGCGGACAGATGGTTGCCATAGCTAGACCCAAGGACACACCTAGTCGCATGCCCAGACGCGTGACACACCCTCTACGTGGAGTCGTCTTTCGAGAACGAGATGGGCATGGGCAACATGGTGAGGCGGACGACTGTCTCCTTCATCGTCAACCGCGGCGGAGGGAAGTTTGCCATAACGTTCGGGTACCTACTTGGCGGGAAAGGAAGCAACAGCACAGCTTAAGGAATCAGGCTGGACCCTAGCGCACACCTGGCCTTGCAATGCCTTACACGGAACGATTTTCGGGTCGATAGGGCCATCTCGGTAAAGCTTGCCCAGTGGGTCACAACACTCTTTTGATTTAAATACGGTTCCATCTATTGTGCTTTGGGACAGGATGATAGCGATATGTCCATCATCACGAATGCAGCGGCACCCAGCGACACGTGTACTGCGTTCAAGGATAGTTCCCACACGATGAAGGTCGTTTACCGACAATATATGCGACGAACATGCGGAACACGACATCGATGACGGGATATTCGGAAAACGATACCCTCTGTAGGGACCTTCACCGAGCCACCGTGTAAGACAACGGCATCTATCGCATCCAAGCCACAACGATCTGTGAACAGTGCGCGCCAGCCGCTGCGATGGATCACACAACGACCCGCACGGAGACATGCCCGAGCAATCGATTGGGGACGAGTCTTACAGCAGTGATCATGCCTCGTCCCTCTTTGCTCGATCGATCCTGCTCGATCCTGGACGCATACGAAAAGAGCAATACTGCAAAACTGTGCCCTACAACTTGGCACGTCAAAAGCCGTCCTCAGACTTGGTCTGATAGACTGTCTGACGGACCCGGATGTCGCTACCATGCGCGCCAGCGCATCGGCGGCCAGGAAACAATGAGGTGTGGCTCAGGAAGGCGAATTGTTTACCGAGGTGGGTATTTGCGTATGATACAAAAACATTCATGATTGACAACAAATCTTTTGCATGATCCCTCGGCAGCCTCAAGTGCCATGACACCCCGATGCATGTGCGCATGGAAATTCCGGCGAGGACGAATATAACAAGCAAGGGCTTACCATCTGTATGCGATCTGTCCTGGAGGTCTCTTGGGCATCGATGCATCTGGCATCGAGGCTTTCTCGGGCACCACCGCCGCCGGTCGCAGCGACTATTCGCCAGCGAAGGGGGCTGTCGCCCAGAGTCGATCCGTGCATCCGTGGACACTGACGCAGCGTTCCTTGAGTTTTGACCATGGAGGAACTCGCCGCTGCGACTGGCGGGGGAATTCGCCAACTGTGCTTCGCGCTTCCATCGTGGCGCGCGCGCGCTGCCAGGTTCTCGCAATGCGAGGAAAGTTGTCACTGCTTAAGAGATGACCGAAACCTGGCGCGGGCACGAAGGACCCCTCTTAGGGCGTTTTCGCTCAAGGTGCAGGACACGACGCTCAAACTGCAGAACACGACACGACGCGAGGTCAGAATACAGCCAGTTTCGACCCCGAATCAGCATCCGTGATGACAAGAACTTGACGGGCCCCGAAATAAACGCCGGCGACATTTTTCGACGGACCGAACAAGTACTTGGCATGTGCAAACTTAGCAAACACACATACATGGATCGCGCAACAAGATACGCGAGCGGCAATGGGGACGCAGCGCTGGACCTAGTCCACTTCACCCAGCACCTCCGACCCATGACTCACCCTGGACTTCCAGGCGCGCCTGCAGAGGCGGAGGCGAGCCGAAGCTGTCCGACAACTTCGTCAGTCTCCGCGGGTCCCTGACCCGTGCGCTCCCCGCCCAGATCCGGCCAATTCTCGCAGGCCTAGAGGTTGACACCAACACCAATGTCGGCGGTGTGCCTCCACCGAGGGAAGATGATCCCGATCTCGGCGCTAGTGGTAATATTCTGGCTTCCAAGGTGGCCGAACTATTACCACCAACGTCGAAATCTAGGATCGTCTTCCCCCTGTGGAGGCAAACCCCTGTGTTGGTGTTGGTGCCCATTTCCAGGCCTCCAGAATTCTGTCTTGAGGGCGCGACCTGCGATGCAATCCTGCACGCCTCCGCCGCGCCGGTCTGCCGGCAGTCCGGTTGTGCTGGGAGTTCGGTTGCCTTCGCCTCAGAGCGGCAGCGAACACAGCACCGTCGCGCAGATCAAGCAGTGGCGAAGCGTCCCGGCTCGCCTATAGCCCCACCAAGCAATGTTCTAAGAACCTTTTGTGGTTCTTGGAACATTTCTGGTTGGGGTTGTCTTGCTTCAACACATCGGGGCTATGTTCTGAGAACATTGCGTTTGTTAGAACATTTTTGATTTCTAAGAACATTTCGTGGTATGACTATAGGAATGCCGGGACGGTCGGTCCCTGTTCAAGAGCGGCAGCTAACACAGCACCGTCGCACAGAACACGGCGAGTGGTAAAAGCAGCGTTTCTACGCCTTTTCAGCCACGCCTAGAGGGGGGGGTGGGGGGAGGGGGGAGGGCTTCTTAGAAGGCGCGGGCCTTATCTATAGATGTACGGCCGGCGCCTTCCAAGACGCAGCCTCCTTCGAAGAAGCCCTCTCCCCTCTCTCCACCCTTTTGTTCAGGAGGGGGAAAAAAACATACAGGCACAATTAATCGTCGACTTCCAGGAGAATATGGGAAGTTGGGGGGAGGGCGAAAACTTAGAAATCATAGGAAAAGATGGGGAATCCTGTTGTTTCTGTCTATTTATATGTGTCCTAGGGCCCCTTCACTTGTGCGCGCCTCCAACCCGTGCTTCCACCAAGTGCAGGGTGTGCAGGACCACTGCTGGTGCTCGCCCGAGCCTTCTCGCCCACGTGTCCGACCCGACTTGTCCGACCAACGCCGGACGAAGTGTTGGCATGCCATGCTGCAGGAGCCCGCAAAGCATCTGAGACTTAGCAGCGCGGAGTGCGCAGAAGTTCACCGGATAAGATAGGTCATGGTAATGAGTAAACGCACATTCTTGGAACAACGTATTGAAGAAGCGATGGTTCATTGAAGCGAGAAACGGATTTAGTACATTGCGCCGCCTAATCAAAACAAGACAAACCATCATTCAGTAAAAGCAGGAGTTGGTTTTCTAAATTCAAAAACGGATATTCTAAATCGGGGACCGTTTTCTAAGTTCCAGATCCTAACATCACCATGACTTGAGTGGCTCGATCAGAAGTGAGTCTAAAAGACTTGGATGAGCGAACATCTGCTCGGCGCTTCGGCTCTTCGCATGTCCACGGTGCGGCAGGAGCGATGGCAGGCAAGTGGGCCGTCGTTTTTCGTAGTTGAGAGGGGTGGTGAATACAAATTCGCGTTCATGAATTGTTGTTGTGACGCCTAACGACGAATATATTACATGCGTGGGCGTGGTAGTCCCCTGGCTCTATGTTTTTTTGTTTGTTTTGTATTTTTAGTGTATAGTTTAAGGGTTTTGCTTTTTGCCGCCGGCCCCCCTATTACTAGTGCGTGCGGCTGCGTGGATAGCGGCGTGGAGGCTTCTCGTGCCAGGCTTCTCGGCAGCGTCTGCGGGTCATTATTGGAGTTTTTTGGAAGCCGTTTTGGAGCCTCTTGGAGCATATTTTGAGTCTTTCGGGGGTCCCCTTGGAGCCTCTTGTTGGCCTCTTGGGCCTCTTGGGACCTTCTTGGGGCCTCCTGGGCTCCCCTCGGGGCAGAAAGGTCGAGTTTTCGGTTCGTGGACTCCCTCTTGGGCCTCTCGTGGGATCGTCTCAGGGCCTTTTTGCGCCGTCAGGGGCGCCTCTTGGACGGTCTTGAGGCCCTCTTCGGCCGTCTTGGGGGCCTCTTGGGCCGTCATGCGAGGGGCCGTCGTGGGGCAATCTTGGGAGCCTCTTGGTCCGTCTCCGAGCGTCGGAAACCCGAAATGGCGAGAAGGCCAAAAACCGTCAAGAACGTTAGGAACATCGCTTAGTTTTGCTTCGTGGGCCCCTCTTAGGAGGCCTCTTGGAGGCCTCTTGGGCCGTCTAAGGCAGCATCTTGGGCCGTCTTGGGGCCATCGTGGGACATCTAGGGGCCATCTTGGGGCGTCTTGGGCTCCGGAGGCTCTCCTCGGAGCCTCTTCGGGCAATCTTGGAGGCATCGCGGGCCGTTCTGGCAGCGCGGTGGGGTCACCATGAGAATCCTGGGGTGAGGTTCGTCCCCCCCCCCTGGCTGTTTGGTGGTGCGGCGAGGCCCCCTGGCAGACAGTAAGCAGGAGGCAGGAAACAGGGCTGGAGAGACAAAAGGCCGAACAACAAATGACAACACATAACACATGACAGCAGACCGCACACACCTTCGCAGCCTTGCTCCACCAGAGGAGGCCAGCGGCGTATATATATATATATATATATATATACATACAGACACACACACGTATATATATATATATATATATACACGTAAATATATGTATAGATATATTTATAAGTGTATATGTGTATATATGTACGTATGCGTGTACATGTGTCTGTATGTATGGATGATGTATGTATGTCATGATGGCCCCGGTTCGGTTCGGTTCGGTTCGATCCGGTTCGGCGTGCCTTCGTGTCGGTGCGGCCGGTCCGGTTCAGATCGCCGTCCTGTTCGGCCCATCCGGTCCCTTTCGAGTATATTGGCCGGTCCGGTTCGGTCGCTCGGTTCGGCCGGTTCGGTCCGGTTCGGCCGGTTCGGTTCGGCCGAGGGTTTCCGGTTCGGCCGGTTCCAAGACACCCCCGAATTCTTGGACATGAGGCGACGACGACGACGACGTCGACGACGTCGACGTCGACGACGACGTGCAGAGTGGGGAGCGGGAGCGGCAGAGTGTGAGAGAGGGAGGAGAGAGGGAGGAGAGAGGAAGGAGGGACGAAGGGGGGAGGAGGGACGACGGGGGAGGGCCGACGGAGGGAGGGACGAGGGAGGGAGGGGGCAGCAGGAACGGAGGAAGCGGCAGAGGGAGGGACGAGGGAGCGGGAGCGGCCCTCCGATCCCCGGCGTCCTGAGGGGGGGTCAGGTCCCCCGTCGTCCTGAGAGGGCGGGTCAGGTCCCGTCCTGAGGGGGGGTCAGGTCCTGAGGGGGCGGTCAGTCCCGAGGGGGGGGGTCAGGTCATGAGGGGGGGTCAGGTCCCGAGGGGGGGGTCAGGTCCTGAAGGGGGGGGGCAGGTCCCGAGGGGTCAGGTCCGAGGGTGGGTCAGGTCCTGAGGCGGGGGTCAGGTCCCGAGAGGGGGTCAGGTCCCGAGGGGGGGAGGTCCCGAGGGGGGGGTCAGGTCCCGAGAGGGGGGGGGTCAGGTCCCGAGGGGGGGGTCAGGTCCCGAGGGAGGGGTCAGGTCCCGAGGGGGGGGGTCAGGTCCCGAGGGGGGGGGTCAGGTCCCGAGGGGGGGGTCAGGTCCCGAGGGGAGGGGCAGAGGTCAGGTCCCGAGGGGGGGGGTCAGGTCCCGAGGGGGGGGGGTCAGGTCCCGAGGTCCCGAGAGGGGGTCAGGTCCCGAGGGGGGGGGTCAGGTCCCGAGGGGGGGGGTCAGGTCCTGAGGGGGGGGGGTCAGGTCCCGAGCGGCGCCGTCCGTCCTGAGGGGGGGTCAGGTCCCGCGGCGCCTTCGCCTTCCGTCCTGAGAGGGGGTCAGGTCCTGAGGGGGGGTTCAGGTCCCGTCCTGAGAGGGGTCAGGTCCCGCCCAGGGCCACGACATGCGCGCGACATGCGCGTTAAGGGCCCTCTCGGGGCCTCTGGGAGCGTTCCTGGGCCTCCCAGGCGGGCCCCGCAAGGCCCCAAGAGGGCCCAGGAGGGCTCCAAGAGAGCCCCAAGAAGGACCCAAGGGCGCATGTCGTGCGCATGTCGTCGTCGTCCTGGGCCCCAGGGCCACGACATGCGCACGACATGCGCGTTAAGGGCCCTCTCGGGGCCTGCTGGGGGCGCTCCTGGGCCTCCCAGGCGGGCCCCGAAAGGCTCCAAGAGGGCCCTGAGGGGGGTCAGGTCCTGAGGGGGGTCAGGTCCCCCCCCCGCCCCCTCCGTCAGGTCCCCCCGCCCCTCCAGCCCCGAGGGGGGGTCCGGTTCGGCCGGTTCGGTTCGTCGGGCCGGTTCGGTCCGGCCGGTTCGGGTCAGAGGCTGGGGCGGTCCGGTTCGGCCGGTTCGGGTCGAGGACCGGTCCGGTTCGGCCGGTTCGGTTCGGGGGCCAGTTCTCGGTTCTCGGTTCGGTTCGCGGCCATCATTCAGTTGAGCGGAAGATCGGGACAAATCGGAACCAGAGATTCTGGGAGAGTTCCAGAGAAAAATAGAACGCCGACTAGTGGAGCGTAGCGCGCGCATTCGCAGAAGTGCCCAAAGAGTGTTCGAGGGCTTGAGGAGCCCAAGTAACACATGGGCGCTCAATTTAACTGTTGAGGGCGGGCAGAAAATCTGGTGTGCACGAGCATTGTGAGCGGGTGCGCGGCTTGCACGGGGGGCACAGTAGGTTGCGTTTCAGGGACCTGGGCGCTGGCCAATGCGCTGATGGGGGCCCCAAGAATGCGTCACATATATTACGCCTGTGGCGCCATGGAGGCCGCATTTGCGGTTGCAGTTGGGCGAGCGCCCCGCCGCGCGCACCGTGGCGACAGCTCTCTTGGGCGCCCGCCCGCCGCCGTGGACGTAGTGGACCCCTAGTCTCTCGGTCGGCGCGCGGCGGGTCGGCAGCCACGACGCTGGCGGCCTGAAAATGCTTCGAAAGTGTTTCTCCCCGAGCCCGGGGCTATTGTACGTTTTCGGTGGCACGCGCAGCTCGGGGAAAAATCGCCTTGTCCGTCGGCGGCCAGTTGGCTGTCGTCGCGCAGAAGTGCCGGCGGATGGCGCGGTCCGCGCTCAGCGCAGAGAGCGTGTCCATGAGCGTGGACTCGTCGAGGGGCAGGAGGAAGGACTTCGCGGTCGGGACCATCGCGGCCCGCGATGTCCACGGCCCTTACCTTGGGCGCGCGAGGACCTGCTGGGCGCCGCCGCAGCGCGATTTCAGAGGATCTCGGAACCAGAAATCCGGGCGCGCCAAATTTCGCGGGCCGAAAAACTCTCAGAGAGTTTCGGCCAGCTCCGAGGTTTTGGGTTTATGGGAATGTTTCACGCGGGGTGGCTAGTTCAGAGATTTTCAGAGATTCTCAGAGAAGTTCGGACGCGAGAATTCGGCGCGCCCCGGTTTCTGGTTTTGTGAATCTCTGAAAAGCGGTTCCTTAGGTTTTACCGGGTCTCCAGGCGTCTTACTGTCAACCAGAGACGAGCGACTGGCTGGCGCCGCGCCCGATGCTTCCGGAGTTGCGAACTCGGTATTCGATTCCCTGGGGCCCGCGGGCCCTTGGGCCAATTGCGAGGTCGCCGAGGCCCCCAGGCGGTTGCGCGCGATTGTCTCGGAAACCGGATTTGGGCATCCATGGTGGACGCCCGCGCGCACGCGGTAGGTGTCCGCGAGATTGTTCGGTGGCGGATCTTGCATGGCGCGGGGATTTTCCAAAGACTGTCGGGGGTGTTCTCTACGGTTATTTGGGCGCGTTTCGGGAACCTTGGGGCGGCGCGGGGAAGTCGCCTGGCCGCGCGCGTGACTTTTTTTCCAATGCCTTTTTGGGCATTATCGCGGTGTTGCTTGGCCGAAGAGGTCACTGAGCAACGCGATGTTTGACATTTTCGTGTTTTTTTTGTTCGTTGCGTTGGTTGCGTGATTGTTTTGGCGGTCCGCCTCCTTGGGGCCCCCTTTGGGCCTCAAGTTTGTTTTGTTGACGTCGGGCCTTCTGGAATGAAACGCGCTTGGCGCTGAATTCCCTCGGTCGCGCGCGTGGCCAAATACGCGCCGTGGTTTCATCCGCGCCGGGGCGCTTTTCTTCCCTCGCGAAGCCGATGGCGCCCAAAGCGTGGCAGGCCCGTTCGGCGGCGCCCCCGGTGATTTGAAAAACCGAGCATGAGCTTTATCCCGGTCAAATGTTGCCCCGATCCCGGCTTCATCTTAATCATGGTATGTATGTGTGTCTGTATGTATGTATGTATGTGTATGTGTATGTGTATGTATGCATGTATGTATGTATGTATGTATGTGTATGTATGTATGCATGCATGTATGTATGTATATATGTAAGTCGGTATGTATGTATGTATGTATGTATGTATGTATGTATATATGCATGCATGCATGCATGCGTGTATGTATGTATGTATGTATGTGTGTATGCATGCATGCATGCATGTATGTATGTATGTATGTATGTGTGTATGTGTGTATGTATGTACGCCTGTATGTGTGTATGTATGTATGCATGCATGCATTCATGTATGTATGTCTGTATGTATGTTTGTATACATAGATGCAGACATGTGTGTAACAGTACATACCCTCTCGCTTACATTTATATCCACACATGTTCACTTAGTGCATGCATGTGTGTACATACCTTTGCACATACACACGGGCATGGGTGCATGCGAACATAGACATGCACATATTTATCATCTACAGACACACACACATCTGAATCGTGTCTTTCCCTGTCAGCCATCTCTGCTCGTCCGCCCTCAGCTACCGCGCCGCGACAGGCGCTCGTGGCTGCTGGCTCAGTAGCCGCGCGCAGGATATGTATTAGTAGCGCGCATCCCCTGGTGAGCGACCAAGTTGCGACCAATCAAGTATGTCAATAGCAAGATATAGACTCAGTGGAGCACCATGGATACTTGCACGACTTGCTCCAATTTCCCACATCGCGTCATTGCCAACACCAAGTCCGACATCAAGGCAATGCCCTGATATCCTCAGCAGCACATGTGTCTCCCAGATGCTTGAAATTGGGGCGTGAAAGCGCCAGCCTTGCCCAATTTGACATATTGAAGCCATTATCGGGGCCCCGGGGCCCCATCAATGTTTCAGGGAAGGGGGTGAGGGCCTTGTCGGCCGCGGATTGAACAAATGACGACATCGGCGGAGGTCTGGGTGTCCTCCCGTGTCCTCTGAGTCATTCTCCCGGTCGTCACCGTGCTGCTGCAAACGCGCAGCGCGAGCTGGCAGTGTCGCCGCAGAGCCTCCCTTCACCCCTATCCCTTTTGTCCCCCCCCTCCTCTTCCCCAATCACCCTCCTCCCAGAAGCGGCACGTCCTGGAGCGCGCTCTGACCAGAATCTCGAGGCGGATCCAGCCAGGGCGCCCCCTTCTCCGCCCCCGAGGGCTCAACATGTTTGAAAGACGTCAACCTCCGCCCCTCTCAGCCTCCCCCCCCCTCCGTTTGGTAAGCCTCGGGGCTGCGCTCGGACAGCCCCCAGAGGCAGCGCGGGCCGGCCCCAGCAGGTCCACCCGGGGCCGTTCCTGGGGTTCAGTTGTGCCTTTGCCGCTCGGCGTCCTCCGCCCTCGGCTGGGGTTGGAGGATCGCGCCGCGTCGCCGATGCATGGGCGTTGCGGCTCGATGTGGAGCCCGATGCTCTCCACGCCGACGTCGCCGATGCATCGCCGACGTCGCCAGGGCATCGGCGATGCGGCGCGATCCTCCGGCGCCACCTTCTGGGGTCCCATGTGGGCTGCATCTAGTTTCGTCCCCCGCCCTCAGCATCTCACCAGCCTCGAACGTATCCCTATCCCTATCCCTAAGATTGACACGCCAAAAGGCGATGACAATCTTAGGGATGCGCCCTGAAAAACTAAGGGAACCCGTAAGATTGGCATTGTGTTGAGGCGATGCCCAGCTTATGGATAGGGATTTGTTCCAGGCTGGTAAGCATCGCCCCCCCCTTTGCATGCAGTTCGTAGGAGGCTTGGTCGCTCACCGAGGGCACAGCACAAGTCTGCCAATTGATCTGGAGATCGCGAGCATAGGGGAACAAAAAGTGACATAAACATAAAAACTCGGAGGTCCGCGCGGATTTCTCGGATCGGCGCTGGACCCCCCCTTCCTGGCGCGCGGAGCGCGCCAGGGGCGGCGCCGGAGGCGCCGCCGGGGGGGCCCAGCGCCGATCCGAGAAATCCGCGCGGACCTCCGAGTTTTTATGTTTATGTCACTTTTTGTTCCCCTAGAGCAGCCTTCCACAAGTCGCTCAGCCCCGACGAACGCCTCGTGAGAGGGGGGGAGGGGGAGGGGAGGGGAGGGGGGTTCTCCAGCTCCGCATCATCCTCCTCGTCCCATCTCTCCTCCGCCTCCTCCTTCTCATCAGCAGCATCACTATCACTATCATGATCAGTAGCATCATCATTAACATTGTCACTACCAGTATCACCATCATCATCGCCAGATCAGTATCACCATCATCATCACCATCACCATCATTAACCGTATCATCATCATTAGCATCATCATCATCATCACCATCATCATCATTATCGGAATCATAATCGTTATGCTCATCATCGTCATCAGCTGCAGCAGCATCAGCATCAGCATCAGCATCAGCATCTCCTCAGATCCTCCTCCTTCTTTCTCATCCTTTTCCTCCTCCTCCTCTCCTCCTCTTCATCCTCCTCTTCCTCCTCTCCTCCTCCTCCACTCTTTCCTCCTCCTCTTCCACTTCCTCTTCCTCATCATCACCATCATCACCATCATCGTCGTCATCAGCAGCATCGCCATCATCAGCATCGCCATCATCACCATCATCGTCATCTTCATCACCATCATCATCATCAGCAGCAGCAGCATCAGCACCAGCATCAGCATCAGCATCAGCATCATCATCGAGATAGCATCATCATTCTTCCACCTCATCCTACCTTCGGCCTCCCCCCACGCGTTCGCGGGGGGTGAAGTGTCAGAGGGGACGTGGGTGAGAAGAGACGAGGCGTGGTGGTGGCGACTGGCTTTCACGGGGGAGCAGAAGAAGGAGTACGAGGAAGCGGAGAGACGGAGGAGAGGGAGCAGGAGAAAAGGAACAGAGTGAGGAGGGGAGGAGAAGGAAGAAGAGGAAGAGGAAGAAATGAAGGAGGAGGAGAGGCGGAGGAGGAAGAGGAGGAGGAGGAGGACGAGACTGGCAAGGGGAGGAAGGAGGCGAGACATGGGTGGTGACGGCTTGCATGAGGGAGCAGGAGAATGAGAAGAACGCGAAGGAGGCAGCGGAGAAAGAAGTGGAGGAGGAGGCGGGGAGGAGGAGGAAGAGGAAGAGAGGGAGAGGGGTTCTCGCTGATGGTCTCGATGTGCCCCTCGTTGCCTGGCTGTGTCAGTCGTGTGCGCACCTCTTTAGCCAACACTTGGAGCAGCGGGCGCCAGAAGAGAGGACTGAGGGGAAGTTCCCCAAGCCCCCATCCCTCCTCCTCCCCCTCCGCCCCAGACGTCAAGGATGCAGGCTCGAGACACCATGGGCCTCCTGCGGCATTCCCGTGGCCACACTTGGATCCGCCTCGAACGTTTGGGACCCCGATCTCGACGCGCTGCGAAAAAAGATCGCGACGGGCAACGTCTCCCGAGTCTGGGCTTCCGGGCAGCCCGTGGCAGGCCCCGGGGCAGTCAGAGAGCTGCCCGCGACGGAACCCTTCCAGGGGAGGGGGCTCGAGAGGTTCGGGGGTCCGCGTGGCGAAAGCGCCGCCTGGGCCCGCCCTTTTCTGGAAGCGCACGCCAAGATCGGCCTGAAGCTAGATATGAATTGGAGGCGACGCCATGCAATGGTAAGATGATGAGAATGAGGATGACGGTAATGATGATGGTGATGATGCTGTTGTTGATGATGGCGACGATGTTGATGGTGATAGTGATGGTGATGATGGCGGTCATATGGTGGTGATGATGGTGGTGGTGGTCATGATGTTGACGAACATGGTTATGTGGATGGTGGTGATGATGATGATGATATGACGATGATGATGATGATGATGATAATGATGATGATGGGTTTCATCATGTTGATGATGATGGTGAGGAGTTGGTGATGATTGTGGTAATGATGGTGAGGATGTTGATGAGGATGGTGATGGTCATCATTCCCATCATCAGCATCATAATCATCAGGTGCACTTGTCCTCCTCTTCCCCCTCCCCCTTCTTCAGCGACAAGTCTCACCCACCTCACGGCCTAGTGTTGCTGCCTTGCCGAATGGTAAAGAGATATCTGAAATGCTCGGCCGCACGTAGTGTGGCAGATGACAGCCGCGCATTGGAAGATAAGGAGAAGTGGAAGGGAATGAGCATTGAGCGAGGCTGCGTGGCTGCGAACGGAGCCCTGTTTCTAGAATCGTATGCAGCCTCTTCAACTTCACTTACTCAGGATGGCAGCAGCAAGTGTTATGTGCCAATGTCACTTGGCGTGCAGCTGTTGTGATGTCTGTGATTGTTGGCGGGATCGTCGCATGAATTGCACAAGGTTGACGGTTGGGCGCACGTCCGATTCACATCGTTGACATGTAAAATCTGTTTCGGTTCGGACAGTTCGTTCGCACATTCAAACGCCTTGTTGTTTACATTATCTAACACTTGGTGTCACGCTCAGTTGACATACGGTTTCATTATTGCGAAGGCCTTGCGGCTGGTGCCGCCGATCCTGAGGTTGGGGAGGTTGGGGAGGAGGGCGCGGAGCACGGGGAGGGAGATGAGGAGGGGGACAGGAGGAAGAGGTGGATGAGGTGGAGTAGGAGCACAGGGGGGGAATGAATAGGTGGAGAATGAGGCGAGCAGGGTCGCGGGGCGTGCATGCAGGAAGGGCATGGGTGGGAAATAGTGGCGAGGATATTGACGAGGTTGACGACGAGGCCGGTTGCCTCTCAGGGCCATTCGGGGCGTCTTGGAGCCCTCCTGGGGCGATTTCCAGGCTTCGCTCGCTGTTCAGAGGCTAGGTTCGGCATCTTGGAGGCCACGGAGGTGTAGTTAGATTTGGAGGGCCCCAGCCATAGTCGAAGAAGGACAAACGCCATAAACATAAACTTTTGGGGCCCCGCGCGGGTTTCTTGGATCCTCGCTGGGCCCCCCCCCTTCGGCGCCTCCGGCGCCGCCCCTGGCGCGCTCCGCGCGCTGGGGCCAGAGCGGGCCGGGAGCCAAGGCCAGGGTTGGGGCCGGGGCCGGGGCCGACCGGCTGGACTTGGGCCTGGGGCCGGGGCCGGGGCCAGGCCGGAGCCTGCCTGGGCCAGGGCCAGGGCCGACGCCAGGACTGTGTCCGGGGCCGGCGGGGCGGGAGCCGTGGCCGGCCGGGGCCTGGGCCACGGCCGGGGCCGGGGCTGGGACTCGGGCCGGGGCTGGGGCCGGGGCCGGGACCGGCCGAAGCCGACGCCGAAGCCGGGGCTGGAAGCGGACCCGGGGTTGGGGCTAGAGTGCGGCCGGGGCCGGGGTTGGGGCGCGGTTGAATGCTTCGGATCATGGCCCGACGGAGGATTGGCGGGGCACAGGGAGGAGGGAGGAAAGGAAGGGAGCACGAGCGAATGATGATGATGATGATGATGATGATGATGATGATGATGATGATGATGATGATGATGATGATGATGATGATGATGATGATGATGATGAGGATTATGGTGATGATGATGATGCTGATGATGATGAGGATGAGGATGATGATGATGATGTTGATGATGCTGATGATGAGGATGAGGATGAGGGATGAGGATGATGATGGAGATGGAGATGGGAAGTGGTGACGGAGATGGATATGGCGATGATGACGATGGTGACGATGAGAAGAAGGAGGAGGAGGAGGAAGAGGAGGAGGAGGAGGGGGAGGAGGAGGAGGAGGAGGAGGAGGAGGTGGATGAGGAGGAAGAGGAGGACGACGACGACGACGTACGACGACGACTAGGTGACTAGGTGAGGGAAGAAGTGGGACAAAAGGGTTCTGGACGATGAGGACGAGAGAACGACTGAGGGGAAGGACGAACACCTCCCCTGTTGATGTCATCCGTCCCTGCCGTTTTCCTTCTTTTCCTCCTCAGAGATTTGCTGTTAACCAAACATGCATGGTGGGCCCCTTCCTTGTTGCCTGAGCACCGCGAAGTGCCTTCAGGCCAGTTCCTCCGAGCCGGCTTCCAGGTCACAGGGGTGCCGTTCAACCTCTTGCCCCCTCGTTGCCCCCGCCAAACCCCTCCCCCCTTTTCCTCGCATGTGTCTCCCTGCCCCCCTGTCCTCCCTCTTGTTTCCCCTCCTTCTCGTTTTATTGTTCGTCCTCCTCCTCCCCCTCCTCTTCCTCCTCTTCCTCCTCCTCCTCATCCTCCTTCTTCTCCCCCTCGTCCTCCTCGTCCCCCTCCTCCTCCTCCTCCTCGTCCCCTTCCTCCTCCTCGCCCCCCTCCTCCTCCTCCTCCTCCTCCTCCTCTTCCTCCTCCTATTTCGATGCAGGCTCCGATTGTTTCGGGGGCAGTCTGCACTCTTCTGCGTACCCCCCGCAGACAGTGGCGATCGCCACCGCGCGCAGGTCGCGGCGTGCAAGAGGTTCGGGTGTATACGTCTGGGGCTTTCTGAAAACCAGCTGGCGAAACGGCTGCCGCTCGCCCATCACGCCGCTCGTTTCTTGGAGCAGCCTTCACCGTGGTGTGCGTGTTTTGTCGGGTCCAAGAAGGGCGGTGGCCACGGCGTCAACGGCAAGGACGGTTCCAAGGCTGGCAGCAGCGGCAGCAGCAAGGACGGCTCTATGGACGGCGGAGTTGGCAGCTGCGGCCAGGTCTGATAAAAAGAACGGCCTGGCTGCGGCTAGCCACGCAGGCTCGAGCACCATCGCCGCCCTGGTCCACAATTCCTTCACCGACACCGTCATGGCCGCCGCGGGCGCCAAAACCAACTCCACGGACCCAAAGGTGCAGGCGTTGGTAGCGGCCGCCCGCGCCCCCGAACCGCCGCCAGAGCCCCTTTGGAAACGGACGCCGTCGCAACGCCTGCTGTCCGCCATTCGCATAGAGGACCGCGCCGTCAACGCGATGGTCTGGGCCCGCGAGGCCCACTCCAACGCCGAGTTCGCGTTGCTGGAAGCTCGCGGGGTCGTCGACAGGGCGCGCGCGGCAGTGGTCAGCGCGGGCAAGGAGAATCGAATCGCCATGGAGGCCCAGCTTCCTACTCTGCCCCGCCTCCGCCAAACGTCGCCTGACATCGGAGACAGGCGCGCGCGGTGGCCACTGCGTGCGAGTAGTTGTTGCAGGCGCAGGCCGTGGAGGCCAAGCGCGCCCATGGCGCCTCGGTGGCTGCGTTCTTCCAGCGCGCGCAAACGGTGCGCGAGGAGACGCGCGAGGCGCGGCGTCTGGCGGCGCAGCGTCGCGAGGACGACGTCCCAACGGGAGGCGACGGCGGCGCTTTCGGCAGCGAATGCGACGTGGCACTGGCGGGGGCAGCCCCGCCCGCGGTCCGCGCGCGCGGCCAGCCCCAGGGAGACGCCGCCCCCCCGCCGCGGAGATCACGTCTCCCGCGCCAGGAGAAGGGAACGCCTTTGGCAGTGTAGCCGCCTCCTCCGCCACCGATGAGAAGATTCGCAAGCTGGCACCCAACCAAAACGTGGCCCAGATGGCAGTTGAGCGCCTTAGTCGCGGCCCCAGCGCCGCAGGCGCAGCTGCAGCGGCCAATGCCGCCCTGACAACGCCTGCCTGATTATGCTCGCGTGCCTTGCCCTGGGTGGCGCTGCGGTCCCCGTTGCATTTCGAGTGTCGGTTGTGTCGCCGGGTCGCCCCAGAGTGCCAGCCTTTCTTGAAGAAATGGCTCTTGGACCGTCTTGGAGGATCTTCATCATCGAGAACGCAATAATCCCCGAACCCCAAGCACACGACGAAGACGTGGCCTCACTTATGTGCCCGTCTTCGCATCAGGGGGACTATATCTGGGCGGTTTGGTTTGACACATCTTCAGAACATAACCCCTTATCCCGACTGCGTGGGACCCAACTAAGGATCGGGCCCTGAGGGTAGGCAGGGATCCGAGAGTGGATTTACATTGCTCGAGACACCTCGTCCTCGGGGCCCCACCCCTCAGGACCCCATCTTGGAACCACGGGCATTCGATGCTCGTTTTGGGGACCTTCCTGGGCCCACCTAACGGATCTGTTCCACTCAGGTTCGACTCGGGTTCGACTCGAGTTCGACTCAGGCTCAACGCAGGTTCCGCTCAGGCTCGACGCAGGCTCGACTCTGGTTCCACTCGGGTCGACGGACCTTCGACGCAGCTCCGACGCACGAGTGGAGCGAGTGGCTCCAGGAAGGTCCCCAGAAGGAGCATCTAACAGGAGAGGAAACAACACACACACAGACACAATGAATCGTCGACTCCCAGGAAAATATGGAAAAATACGGGAAGTGGGGGGGGGGACACGAAAACCCCGAAACAAAAACATACAATACGGGGAATCCTGGGATGTGTGTATTTATTCAATCGCTTTGCTCATTCCGCCGGCCCATGTTGCATGATCGCTACTGCTTCGCCGTGGGCCCGGGGCCATTGTGGCGCCGCCGAGGAGGAAGAAGATGAGGATGGGGAAGGGGAGGGGAGGAGGAGGAGATGATGAGAAGGAGATGAGGAGGATGAAGATAAGTAGGAGGAGGAGGAGGAAGAGGAAGGGGCGGAGGAGGAAGCCTCTCGTTGGCATCTTGTGTTGCTCTTGGGGCCAAACAGGGTCGTCGTCAAGATGCTTCTCTGGGAGGCCTCTTGGGGTCTTTTCAGAAGCCGTTCGAGGGCGCCTGGGAGGCATTTTTGAAGTCTTCTGGGGGGCCTCCTGGGGGCCTCCTGGGACCTCTTGGGGGCCTCTTGGCGGCATCTTGGGGCCTCTTTGGGGCCTCTCGGGGCCTCCTGGGGCCCTCTTGGGGCGGAAGGCTCGAGGTTTTGGTTCGTGGTCCCCCTCTTGGGCCCCTCTTGGGGCCGTCTTGGGGCCGTCTTGGGCCGTCTTGGGCGCCTCTTGGGTCGTCTCGGGGCCCTCTTGGGCCCTCTTGGGGCCCTCGTGGAAGCCTCTTGGCCCGTCTTGGGGTGCTCTTGGGGGCCTCCTGGGCCGTCTTGGAGCATCGGATGGCCGAAAAGGGGACAAGGCCCAAATTCTTTCAAAACCATCGTAAAATGTTTGATTTGGGCCTCTCAGGGCCCTCTTGTGAGGCCTCTTGGAGGCCACTTGGAGGCCTCTTGGGCCGTCTTGAGGTCATCATCGGCGTCTTGGAGCGCTCTTTAGGCGTCTCGGGGGCCCTTTGGGCAGTCTTGGGGGCCTCTTGGGGCACTCTTGGCGCGCTCTGGGGGGCCTGAGAAGCCACACCAGGAGGAAAACCATCTCTGAGTAGCAGTGGTCGGGCGGCGGTCGGGGTACTTTTCGCCGGGGGACCCCCAGGGGCCGCCCCGCGCGCGCGAACTAGAAGTATTGTTTAGCAGTTACCGGAGATCTTAGCACGCCTTTGGCCCGTTGGGCCGGCGAATTTGTGGGTCCCTGGTCCCCTTGAATCTAACCGATACAAGCGCCTGGCATCGCTCGGACGTGTGCATTTTTTCTCGGCGAGGACCATCCAGGACCATCCTGGACCATTGAGTAAAAAAACACGCACGAAGCCGAAACATGCACGGGAAATGGACGTCCGAGCGATGGCGAGAGCGGGGCCCCTCGGCCATCCTGCCTCAGCGACCCTGGCCGGCTCGATCACCTGCGGCCGCGTCCGGCCACGCCCGCCCGCGCGCTTGCACGCGCCGGGAGCCCCAATGGTGGGCCGGGCGAGGCTGTCGCCCAGCTTCTCCTCGGCGGGCGTCTTTCCGACGACCTCCTCGGCGGCCGCGGGGCGGTTCCGCGAGCTGCAGCACCGCACGACGAACATGGCGGAGATGCCCTGGCACGTGGCCTCGCAGGACGACGCCGCGGAGAACTTCCTGGGCATCCACTACATGGGGAAGCGCGCGGGCAAGTACATGGACGTGCAGAGGATCGAGGGACAAGCACTGGCACGAGCACAATCATTTTCGGAGCTCCGCGCGGCGCTCCGCGCGCCAGGGCGGGGTGTCCAGCGCCGACCTAAGCAATCCGCGCGGACCTCCGAGCGTTTGTGTGCCTGAGCAGCTGCTTTCAAGGGGGGAAAAACTCAGCCACGCGCAGAGGGTGGTGGGGGGAGGGGGGAGGGCTTCTGAGAAGCACCCCTGCTTCTTAGAAGGCGCGGACCTTAATCTATAGATGTGAGGCCGGCGCCTTCTAAGAAGCAGCCTCCTTCTAAGAAGCCCTCCCCTCCCCCACCCCCCAGTGCGCGCCGCCAAAGAACCACCCAGACCCGATAATTGGCGTTTACTAAACGGCCCTGGGCGTTTACTAAACAGCCCTGCTCTGTTCGATTCCTTTTTTGGGTGCGCTTGCTCAACGGCCTCGCTTGTCGGGGTGGTTCTTATGGGGGTTTGTTTTGCCCTCTATATTTGCCCATCTGGAGGAGCAGCGCGCCCCTGCTGGGCCCGACGGCGTGCACGAGCAGGTCCTGCTACGTGCCGCACTCGCTCGACGGCTGCGAGGGCGACCGCGAAGCGGCCGCCAGGATGAAGGACCAGGCGTGCGGGCCCGTGGCGGCGGCGGGCGCCGCCTCGCCGCGGTCGATGCTGCAGTCCGTCTACGGCTCGGCGTTCGCCCCCCTCACGGAGCACCAGACGAAGTCCGCGAAGCTGAAGTCCCTCAAGCCAAAAGGGCGCACCAGCCCGCTGGCCACGCTGGACACGCTCCTGGAGACGCGCTCGCACGCGCACGAGTCCTACCCGCAGCGGGCGCCCCAGCCGTCGGTGCCCTGGCACTCGCCCACCACGCTGGGGCCCGTGGCCCGCGGGCCGTGGCGGGGCGATCATGGGCCTGTTTTCCATTACCACCACCACAAGTTGGAGGGGGGAAGGAGGTGGATGATGAGGGGGAGGAGGAGGAGGGGGAGGAGGAAGAGAAGGAGGAGGAGGAGGAGGAGGAGGAGGAGGAGGAGGAGGAGGAGAAGGAGGATGGGTATGAGGAGGGGAAGGAGGAAGAGGAGGAGGAGGATGAGGCGGAGCATGAGGAGGAGGAGGAGGAGGAGGAGGAGGAGGACGAGGAGGAGGGCGAGGAGGAGGAGGAGGAGGACCCCCTCCCCCTCTTTCAGCTGGTGGTGGTGGTGGTGAAAAAACAGGCCCGCCAGGCGAGGCCGAGCGCTCGATCTACCAGCAGGAGTTCGGCGCCCCGGCCGGGGCACCGCAGCGGCCCCGGTCCACGCCGCTGCCGAGCTCGAGGGGCAGCGTGCGGTCCCGGTGCGCGACGCCGGGCCCCAGCCCGCCGAGGGCGCCCGCGGAGGCCGCGGCGCGCCTGGAGAGGGCGCGCCGGGCGGAGGGCCTGCAGCTGCGGCAGGTGTTCCGGGAGGACACGAGCGCGCCCAGCGGAGCCGCTTCCGCGGCGTCGGGCCGCGCCACCCCGGCGGCGTCCCAGGCCACGCCGCGGTAGCGGCGCAGTAGCGGCGCCGCCGCGCGGCGCCGTGGCGGTGGCTATTGTCGCCTGCAGCACGGCGCTCAGCGCGGCGACGCTGGGCGATGCGCAGCTTCCTCTTTCCTGTCCGCATCGGTGGCCCAAGTGTCGCCCACGCCCGCTGGACAGCTTCGGACACACATCGCCGCGGCACGCTTTTGGCGTGTCGGGTTGACACGTTTGGTGTCTGAGTCGCACGTGTCGAATGCCCGCGGAAAATCCGTCACGGTGCAGCCCGCGCGTGTCTGCAGCGAGTACAAGGTCAGTGTGGGCCCGACCGAAGGCGGCGTGGACCTCGTGAGGATGCCGTTGCCCGGGAGCATCGTTCCAGACCGATCGCGCCGCATCGGCGAGGCGGCTCGATGTGGAACCCGATGCTCTCCGCGCCGGCGTCGCCGATGCATTGCCGACGCCGCCGATGCATTGCCGACGCATCGGCATTGCGTTGGTGACTCGGCGCGATCTTCCCACCCCGTCTACTCGGACCCACTCTGGGAGGCTTCCAGAAGTGGAGCTCGGCGCAGGCGAGGGCCAGCCGAGGCGCAGTCGGGAGCGGCTGCCGCAATCAGGAGCCATGGATTTGTTGGCTTCCTCGCCCACCCCACCCCCCATCTCAGGGCTGGACCCAAACGGTGTTTTTGGCGATTTCGTGGGCCGCTTTCGTTTCGACTTTGTTTTGCGGTAAAGGCGGAGTCGTGACAAAATGAAAACGAAAAGCACCGCTTATGTTCAGCCCTGCCCACCTTCCTCTCCCGCTCCTCCCTCCCCCATCACCAAAGCGAGCGCCGCACCTAGCTGACGTCTGGCGCGAGTCATCGGAGCGCAAGCTGGGCTGCGGGTGGTTGGGCGATGCTCGGCTCGCCCATCGGCCCGTGGCGGCAGCGAGGGAGGCTGCGCTTGCCTCGTCTGCCTAGAAGTCGGGCGTGTCCCTCTACGGGAGGAATATCAAAACATTGTCAAAACATACTCCAGGGACGATGTTTTGACTCCCTCGAGCATGTCTGGGGCATTCTTGGAGTATGTTTTATTTCTCCTCCAAAGCCCCCCTGTAGGGGGACAGGCCCGACGTAAGTCTAGCTGTGCGGCACTAGCCAGGCGTGCTTGCCGACACGTGGCCCCTGGCAGCTTGTTCTCCGTGCTTCCCGGCCTCCATCGCCGCTGCATTGCCGTGGATGCGCTGAGGCACAGACGCTTGCGTCTCAGATCCAGTGAGGTTGCGCGACGCAGTTCCAAGCACGCAAACGTCAACGTTGTTCGATGCCTGTTTTCAGCAGTGCCTGTTGATTGGCATCATCCTCGCCATTGTTGCCACCATCTGGGCGAGCTGCCTTTCCTGCCTGCACGCGTCAGCGGCCTTGAATGGGTTTGCGCGCGTTTCTGACATCGGCGGCATGGCCAGCGGCCTGGCGGCCAGTAGAGCAATTTTTCCGATGGATGATCTGTTGTTGCGATGCGCTGTTGTTTTTCATAGGCGGCAAATCGCGATTGCGATACGCCGCGTTAGACTGTCGGCAGCTCGCGATTGCGACCAGCCGCTTTAGGTTGAGATGATCCTGAGCGGCCCCCACTCAACGAGGAGGGGTGTCGAATATCTGGTGGCCGTCGGCCTCATCCCGCCACCGTGCCCAGGTTGCAGGTCAGAGATCTCTCGGGAGGCCTCTCTGAAGCCTCTTGGAGGCGGCACTGGGGTTGTCTTGGGGCCTCTCGTGGGCTCTTGGGGGCCTCTTGAGGGGCCTAACTCGGGCCCCTCAGGGGCCTGGGGCCCGAAGGGGGGCCCCCTCATGGGCCTGCTGGCGGTCTCGGGGTCATCTTGTGGCGGAGGGCTCGAAATATTGGTTAGTGCTTCCCCTCTGGGCCTCTCCCGGGCCCTTTCTTGAGGCCCTCTTGGGCCGTCTTGGGGGTCTCTTGGGCCGTTTTGGGGAATCTTTGAGGCCGTCCTGGGGACCTGTTGAGGGCGAATGTAAGGTGTACTTTGGGATTCGAGCGTTTCTAGCCTCTCGAGAGTCTCTGGGGGTTCCTCTCGGGTCTCTCTTGGGCCTCCTTGGGGGCCTCTCGGGCCGATTGGAGGGTATGGCGGCCAGTCTCGAGGCCTTCTGGAGCCGTCTCGGAGCGCACTTGGGCCCTCTTGGGCGCTTCGGGGGGAATCCTTGGGATGACTCGGGTCGTTCTTGGCGGGGTCACCGGCGCAGAGGCCCACGCGGGAAACGCCGGAAGCGCCCAGAAGAAGCGCCCAGGAATCCAGGGGTCCGTGCCCTTCAGAGTTGCACAGACCTTCTACCGCTCAGGACTGCAGGAGCCTTTGGGCACTCTACGTCGTGGTCAAGGTACGGTGGCGGATAATTGGATAGATGGCTGGTGATGAAGTCGGGTGTTTTCTGGCCCCAGGCTGGATGAAGCTCACGGCTATTCTGTTTCCAGAGGTGGAGGCCTTGGCGCCACGCGGCCGAAACCCACGCAGGGCTTCTATCTGCTTGAAGGCCGAGAGGCGCAGACGCTCGCGCACGCCCATTCGGCAGTGCGCGGAGGTGTTGATGCGAGGACCGCTGCGCGACTCACGCGTGCAACAGCAAGAGACGGCCCCAAGAGCGAGGGCGCCCTCGAGGGCGCGAAGTTATTCGCGCTTCCTGGTTCGGTTCCGATTCCTCCTCATCCTCCTCTTCTCCCTTGGGAGGCGGCGCGAGAGCGCGAATTTGTTCGCACTTCGCGCAGCGCGAAGCGCGAAGTTGGGAGCCCTTCTTTCTTTCTTTCGGACGTCCGCTGGCACAGTCGTGCGCGTGCTAGGTGAAAGGCAAATCAGTTGTCAGAACGCCGTAGGCTCATGACGACCCCGGGGGCCTGTACCAAGTAGCCTTGAGGGCTCAGCATCAACGCGTATCTACCTCAAGTGGAAAACAAACGCGGCCACTGGACAAGAGGAAGGGGAGAAGAAGGCTTCTCAGCAACGGCCAGGAAGAGGCCTCCGGCGTGTCCCCGAGGTCGCCACGAGGGGGAGCTCGGTCCCGAGGAGAGCGGCTCCCGAGGTTGTTTGTCTGACTTCTCGGGGCCCTCCGCGGGCCCCTTGGGCTGGCAGAAGCTCGGGAGGGGACCGAACACACAGACACAATGAATCGTCGATTTCCCAGAGCATATGGGAACCTATGGCCCCTCCTCCTCCTCCTTTTCCTCCTCCTCCTCCTCCTCCGCCTCCTCCTCCTTCTCCTCCTACTTTCCCTCCTCCTCCTCCTCCTCCTCCTCCTCCACTTCCTCCTCGTCCTCCTCCTCCACACCTCCTCCTCCTCCTCCTCCTCCTCCTCATCCTCATCCTCATCCTCCTCCTCCTCCTAAGTGGGGGGGGGGAACAAAAAAACACCAAACATATGGGAACATCTGGGGAGTAGTTTTATTTGTGTGTATTTGTTTGTGGGTCGTGGCCCCTTCAGAAACTTGCTCAGGATGGATACCTTGTCCTTGGGGGAGGACCTCGGGTCTAGGATGATGCTGTTCCAACCTACTTTCGCCTTCACCACCAGAAAGAATCCCGAGCACAGGAAAGAATACCGAAACTCAAGGGGTTTCACGTGTCGGGCCCTGGGAGGCACTCGTCCGACACTGCTTCGACACTCTTTCGGCACTTTTCCAGGTGCTCGAAATTATTGTAGTGGCCTTCGGCCAGTGCCGCCGATTCGGGGCGCTCCTGATGCTATTGTTGTTGAAATGGACGATGACGACGACAACGGACGACCAACGGTCGACGAGCGGGATAATTACGACGACGACCGACGAAGGAGTTAATGACGACGAGCCGACGACGACGACGACGACGACGACGACGACGACGACGACGACGACGACGACGACACTGACGACTGACGGCGAACGGCTGCCGACGACCGACGACTGGTGACGGCGACGGGTGGAAGGTTCTTCGTTCATCGCTTTCGCTTCCGAGCAATACCAAGTCAGGTCGTGCACCTCTGGCCTGGCAGCACGCGAGTGAGCGCCTCTTGGGGCCTCTTGGTTCTTGGGGCTTCTTGGGGGCCTTTGGGGCCTCTTGGGGGCCTCTCGGGATCCTCTTGGGGGCCTCTAGGGGGCCTCTTGGGGGCCTCTGGGGGCCCCCTTGGGGGCGCCTCGGGGGCATCTTGGGGGCTCTTGGGGTCATCTTGGGGTGGAGGACTAGAAGGGTCCGTTCGGGCTCACCCTCTTGAGGCCATCTTGGGGACCTCTCGGGGTCGTCTTGGGGGGCCTCCAGGGCTATATTGGGGCCCTCTTGGACCGTCTTGTCTCCTCTTGGGGGCCTCTTAGGCTGTCTTGGGGCGATATAGGGGGCCTCTTGGACCGTTTTCGGCGCTTCTAAGACGGAAAAAGGCGATACTGTTAAAGTGCTTCAAAACCTTTTAGCAACTTTATTGTTGTACCCTCTTGGGGCCCATTTTGGCTCAAGCCATTGGCTCAAGCGAGGTCAAGGTCAAACGATCATGCTGATTACATTTCCGCCCCACTTACCCCTTCCCGCATCTGCTCCGATGGCCGCCACCGCCGGCGAGCAGTCTCAGCAATCCCAGAAGAAGTCCAGGACGGAGGGCCTCGTCGACAAGTTCAAGAGTGCAAGCTCTACGGATGACAAGTTGCTGGTTATCTTCGAGACGATGGTAGGGCAGCAGGTCGACAGACGGTTACAAGGGGGGAGAACGCATTGACACGCAAGATAGCCAGTTAGCTGCACTTGAGCGTCGTATGGGGAAGGTGGAGGAGGGAGGAGCAGGTCAATCAGGAGGTCAGGGATCCAGGCATGCTGATCGTGAGGCCAGTGGACGTGATGTGCCTATTTCTCGCCGGAAGGTCATGTGTGTTGGGGGGGTTCCAGACTACACGGAAGGCAGTGATCTGGAGAAGTGTTTGAAATTTTGGCTAGACCAGCGGAGCGACGCCATTGCAGATATTGTTTCCCCTCATCAGGTACTACGTGCAAAAGCTCATGCGGGAGGCGATCAATGGGCACA